TCGAATAAAATCATCCATGGTAAACATTGTAGTTATGGATTTTTTTTTTTTTCATTTTGTTTCTCACTTTCTATGCGATTTTCGTGTTTAGGTTCTTGTCATGTTACATGTTTAATCCTCAATCCCATTATAGAGCTTTCTTATTGAGTTTCACTTTTCAAATCTTGACACGTGTGTCATGTGAGGTTAATTAGATCAATTCTTACAACACAACTTATTATACGTGTCAGGGTTTGAAAAGTGAGTCTCGATAAAGGGGTTTCATATCGGAGCTAAGGATCGAAAGCGGTCATGTTATTACCCGTTTTTTGGGTACATGTGATGTTGTTACCCGTTTTAGTTTAGTGTGTACTTCAATTTTAGCACTTTCGATTCTCTGTGTTTTTTCTCAAATAGTACGATTGTAACAGATAAAGCATCGATTCTGGAAAATAAACAAGAAAGATTACATGAGGATGATTTCGAAAGATTGGACATTAAACATGTTAAGATAATTGAGAGGTAACAAAATTTGACCAATATCAGATTGGTATAAACAAATTGGCTTACCAGTTGCTACGTAGCATGAAGTTAGAGACCCTATAATATTCATGAACCCCATGGCTACCATCTCCTTGTTACCATCCAGGTGATATCCTTTGACGGAAGCAAAAGATCTGCCAACAGCAATGGCTTCCTGAGGCAAATTTTGACATATTCGATTAACAATTGAGGATATTTTTTTTAAAATTGTAGATTTTACGAAGGATTATTATTAATAATTTATCAAAATTGGATAGGAAATTCATACGGTGAGAGCAATAACGGCGCAGATTATTCCAATTTTTGCTGCCTCAGCAACATGTGTGCTGTTAAACTGTAATTCATGGACTGAACTTGGATTCAATCCACCTTTGAAGTGCTTCACAATGTTAATGCCATGCTTATCAGCTTTAGTCAGGTACACGAACAAGGTTGATAATATAACTGATACAAGAGGGGCTATTGCTGGTAACCAGAAAAGTTTTCTGTTCCTTCTTCCCTGCAATATAATTGGAACCAATGAATGGACAAATGTATAAAATTTGAAATTCTCTGTGCTAGAAAGAAAAAAAAAAAAAAGAAGAAAGTTAAAAATGAACTGTAATCACTGCTTACAATAAATCTTGTAATCAAGATGAAGATAAGGAATGAGCATCCCAGGACAAAATTCAGGGGATACCACTGTCATGACAGAACAATGATGTAAAGGCTGTCAAATTTTTCTGATCAATCAAAAGAATTATATGGTAATTATTCAGTAAATGCATGAATTTAAAGATCATTAGAATTGAAAAAGGTGTTAAAGGGAGCATCATCAGAGCCCAAAAGCGAAAGACTTACCTGATGGCGAAGTGAATTAAATACAGCTTTCAAGACAGAGATTACATCTGTTTTTGTGGTAAAATGGCTGATTCCCAGTAACCCTTTGAGTTGCTGGAGACCAATCACAATTGCAGCACCTCCCATGAATCCGACTACTGTTGCATGTGACAGAAAATCAACCAGAAAGCCCAATCTGCAGTTGTACAAGTGTAAAATTATGCTTAATCTTCATATCTACTCAACAATATTAGATTTGCAGAATAAAGAGAAGAAACACCCACTTCTGAAGAAAGACCACCTGAATAATCCAAAAACTGCTTGAAAGGCACCAGTGAAAAAAGTTGCAGTAAATACAAGTCTTCTGTAGCCAACAGGATCAACTGCAGGATCCACTACTTTCTGGATCAGTGACGACAAAAGCAATGAAACAACTGCTACAGGACCAATAGCAATCTCTCGTGAACTCCCCATGAATGCATATATGAAAGGTGGGACAACACTTGTATCTGTGGAAGCCCCAGAAGGACTATTAGCAATCCTTGCAATCGTGCTTCATAAAACTGATTGAAAGATAACAGGTAAAGAACTCCGACAGCATAGTATATCAGCACTTACATAGGCCGTATTGAGGATCAAGTTTCGCAAGATTTGCATATCCAATACTCTGGCAGGATTCACATTGAGACTTAGTGAGACAGCACGAAAATCGCTTCATTTTCGCAGAAATCCAATGAAGAATATGGAAAAGAAAAGATCATAAGTTATTCAATAGCTTAGTTACTTGAGGAATGCAGAGGCTGGCAAGAGTTAAGCCAGCCATCAAATCTCTCTTGAACTTGGTAGCTCTGTAGTTTCTTCCCCATTCAAGAATAGGAAATAAGCCTTGAAGGAATGAGAATGCTTTACTTGCAGAAGACTTCTTGGGCAATGAGGAATGATTTTTGGTTCCATGAGGCAAGATCGTCCTCCTTATTGAACTGAAAATTTCATGGAAAAAACCAGGGGGATCAGGGGAATTTAGTAACCACCCTGTCCTTTCTGTCCTTCCATTATTGACAACTTCAAGCTGCTGTTCTTGAGCCATTTGTGAAGTTAGCTAGGCCACTACAGGTATTTGGAGTGTTTAAAACTTTAAATTAAATCTGGCTATTCATCATCTGTCCTGCCCTTCTGGGAAGTGGGAACTAGACTTGCTGAATATAAATACAGTTTTGACCCTTTTCAGTAAATTCAATTATTCAGTGAATGATATGCTTTTAATTATTGGAATGTTTATTGTAGTATACCTCACCAAATTTTCTTTTAAGATTCAGTCTAACTGTGCACCTACTCGCTTAAGCTTGGAGTAAATTCCCAAAAAGAGGGACTTTTTAATTTAACTTCTCAAAGGGTGGTGATTTTTTAACTTCTTCCCAAAGGATGAAAAACGTATCCAAGAAATGCGTTTTTTCACATAAAAACGCATTCTTCAAATGCGTTATTTTTTTTCACCTACTTGGTTTATTTTTTTGTTAAAATAACGCATTTGAAGAATGCGTTTTTACGCATTTGAAGAATGCGTTTTTATGTGAAAAAACGCATTTCTTGGATACGTTTTTCATCCTTTGGGAAGAAGCTAAAAAATCACCACCCTTTGGGAAGTTAAATTAAAAAATACCTCTTTTTGGGAATTTACTCGCTTGAGATGTGCTTCAAATGTTAATTAGTTAGAGAAAGTAAGATTAATTAGAGAAAGTATATAAATACAAAGGATTAATTAAGAAAAGTATTTAAATGAAAGTGAGAATAGTAATTATTATTGTGTGTATATACATGATAGATTAGATAAAATTTAAGTGTGTTAATGAGTATCCATTGAACATCCGTTCTGATTTAAAGATCAGAAGGGATTTTTTAACGTTACCATATTGCCACGTTGACGATTGAGAGGTAGATTTATGGTAAAGTTATATAGAGTTGTAAGCTAATACTTATCCACTCAAATGTGTAGGTCGAACCCTTTATGGCTTTCCGTAAATCCAATGGAGGTCATCAAATCACCATTTCGTCCAAAATCAAGTAAGAGGTTAGCATAAAATTCACAATTGTGTTTTTTTTTTTTTTCCAATTCCATACGCCTTCTATTATTGTCGTTTGGTGCATTTTCATTAGTCGCTAAACTTTAGTAATCAGCATTATTTCGGTCCCCCATTTTCAAAATGTCCAAATCAAATCATGCGAATCTATTTTTGTGGGATTTTTATTTCGTGGACAACTTGAACCATTATAAACAATGTGCAAAAAACACTTGTGCGTCAATTTTTAGAATCTACCACTTGAGGAAGAAAAATACCCAATGCATGAGTCTCTCTAGACCAAATGTAGACAAAATTTTCATTCATGTCTCATGTAAAAAATGAGTAAATTAATTCGTTCACCAAGAAGATTTTCCAAGACTAATACATAACAAATTTTCTTCCAAACAATGCGCAGAATTTCATAACAAATTTTCTTTCTTTATGTAGCATTAGTCATACTATTTGTTGCTCGATATGTAAACTAGAGTAAACGAAAGGGGGGAAGGTAAATCAGCCTTCTTGGAAAAAGACTTTTACCCGAAAACAAAAGGCTACTTTTTCTACCGGGAAAAAAAAAAAAAAAAAGGCAGAGCCTAACTCAAAAAATCAGATTACACATGGAAAATGCCTTGAAAAGCTTGCCCTCCATTACTACCTTCCAGTGATCCCTTCTAAGACGTTTCCCATCTTGTGGTAATCTACGAGCTCGATATGTTAATCTAAACTTTGAGTGATTGCCATGACAGTGACAAAATAAGGCAAGCCAATGTCATATTTTTCTTCTTGACTTTGATTGATTAATTGTTCCAATGAACTGTCCAGAATGCCGATTGCTAACTTTTGGAAATCTATGATGGTTTTTGCACTACACTTAGCTTGTTGGAACATAAAAAGGAATAAACGACAGGGACAACAGGACAAGTATGGATCTATTGCACTTCAAAGTCCAACAATTCTGCAAATCTTGCATGCCTACCCTTATCTGTTTTAACTTCGTGGCATCAATCAGTCCACAAACCAATACTGGATGACTTTCTTTGAAACATTAGTGTGAACGTGTTAGTTCCTGAAGTTCAAGTATTTATATTCTACCCCAACTTTTGCTTCAATGTACATTCTAGCCAAATTGTCATTTGAAGGATGGAAATGCACCATTGGTCATAATTTTGATAAAAAATTTATCAGTTGACTATACATCTGCTTCCAGTTATTAATGTTTATGCTACATTGCTACCCATATTTGTAATTAAGGTAGTAAGGGGTTAGCGTTCTTAACTACTATATGTTAATATTTTTCCTGTTATATCATATTCTTCCCACCACTTCTGTGGTTTAACTATAGTGTTGATCAAATGTAATTAGTTGATCGAGTTAGCACAAAGCAAAGCATAAGATGTAGGTTTAATTGAAAGTTAGGGATTCAAACCTCTACACATGCAGTAACATTCAAACGGCATGCAGTAATGCACCCCTTTGATCAGAGAAGGATTCATCTCCCTCTTACTCGCCTTGACCTGATTCTCCCAATAATTGTGAGTTGATTTTAATTCTATACAATTTATTAAGAAAAAAAATTAGTCAGGGGTTTTTGTCGATCTATCAATAAGGTGCAACAAAGACAGCCTGACTAACATTAAATTTACTGCTGACTCCCATCCACAAAAACTTAGCATCGTATCCACCAATATTCGTTCTTGGATTCTTTACCAGCTACATCACATAAAAATGTAATGCTTAACTCTTTGTTGCTAAACTATTGTGTGTTTCCACCTAAATTTGCCCGAGTCTAATGTGACCATTGGTCAAATTTCTTCCGTTATGCCAAACTTATTCAATTTTTATACCCACCAAAAACTGAAGATATGTCAAAATGTTTGCAAAAGATTTTTGCAATCCTAATACGAGAAGTCAATTCTTTGGAAGAAAGCAAGCACCAAACAATGCAAGAAAAATGTACGCTGGCATTTGCCTCCACATGTTTGGAGGTGAATTACCTTCTTAAATCAGGCGGTGCAAAAATATATGGCATTAAGAAGGTGGTATCAATGGTCCCGTAAGAGTTAAGAGTGGAGGAGTGGGGAGGCGTGGTGGTTGTTGATTGAGGTTCATTAGCTTGCTTTTAGGTAATGGTCCTGCACAGAGAAGCAGTAGCTACGCCGGCCTTCTTTCAAATTCCACCCATTATTCCCACTACTGTCGATTCTGGATGAAGGAATGCAGTTATCTTATGACTCCTACCAAATTCCATGATATTGGCCTTGTCCGTCGTATTCATAAGTTGATAAAGAAGTTTTTTCCTACATTGAACTACAAGTTTTGATAGTGCCAAATCTACCAGTTGGGCATCGTGTTCACAAGTTGATAAGAACTTTTTTCGTGGATTGACCTACAAGTTGTAATAGTGCCAACCCTACCAGTCGGATCACTTTTTATTTTGAAGGTGCAGAATCTTTTGTTAAGGATTTACTCCGGGGGAAAAGAACAAAAAAAAACCATTGACCGATTTAAATTGTTGTCTAAAGTTTAGATTCTTTCTTACCAAAAAAAAAAAAGAGGCTTATTTGCTAATTTACAATTTAAGTCCTTGGACTTTCCCTAAAATCTTATGCTAGCTAGCAAACTTCATTAGACAAATCAAATTTGTCCCTTGACTGCTGCTGCATTCAGAGTCCTTCTATCTAATCATACTAATATTACACAAGTATAACTTGAGTATAAATTTAAAGTAAGAAATCCTAGGGGTGAAAGATTTTGTGATCTTTAAGTCCAATTTAAGCTATATACTGCTGTTTCAACATCTTTTACTATTTTTTTTTTATTTTGAACTTTCAGACTTCTGAAAGTAAAATTGATATAGAACAGGCTTGTGGTAAGTTAGTTCGCGTCATATCGATCATATTAAGCTATAAAAATTACTATGAAGTATAACCTGAAATTGTTCGATACGATTTTGGTAAAAGAATATGCTTCATTGGCATGACCTTCATAACTAAATCATTAGATATATTGAATGACAAATAGCTACGATAATTCTGTAAGTAGAATCTTTGAAAAAGGTCTAGATAGACATGTCCATAGTGCCGCAAATTTTGATTTGTTTGGACACTGCGTAATTGATCCTTTGCATGACATGATCCAAATCTTTACCTTTTTTTGGGATGTGGGAATGTCGCTCGAACGAATAAATATAATGGGTTGGTGGGGTCTTTTTTCCTGCCATATCTTTACTTACAGGTCATCAAATTCCGCTCTTGCCAGTAATTTTATACAATAAACAATAGATTCATGATCAATATGCTAAAGGGTTTTAATCTGTAGAAAAATGCACCAAACTTTCTTGAAGATGTTCTGTTTTTTTTTTTTTTTTTTTTTTTTGCTAACGGAGTGGGTGTCCGGGTCAATCCTTGCGGGGCCCGACTAATCCCACTCCGGCCCGGGAGGAAAGGCCTCATCCCCCCGAACACGATAATCACGGGACTCGGACCATTGCGGGCACTGGACACCAACTCCTAAGGAGGCTTGCTGGGACCATTGAAGATGTTCTGTTTGATTCTCTGATTTGAAGGCATCCTCCTATAGGCTATAATGCTTGAGAGGATGCATCTTTTTGAGTGGGCGGACTATTCAGTTTTCATTGAACTAAGGGTCCGTTTGGTTGGACTGAAAATATTTTCCTGAAAATATTTTCAGTCCAACCAAACGGACCCTTAGTTCAATGAAAAATATTTTCCTGAAAAATAACCAAACGGACCATCGAAGTCATTTTCCTGAAAAATCACTTCATTCCCCGTAATTTTTCAGTGTTTGGTTATTAAGTGAAAATATTTTCCAAATTTCTTTTTTCATAATTTTCCTGTGTTTGGTTTGTCAATGAAAATATTTTCTGATATATTTTTTGATATGTTGCAAATATTTTTATACTCTCAAAACATTCATTTCATTACAGGTTAATTTTAGTTTATATCCATTATAATCATATTATCATTTTTATAAAATATTTATTCATATTACACCATGTTAAATGGAATTATTAAGGATACTAATGAATTGACTTTTTATCTTCCTTTTAAAAAAAATCATTAAGGGCCGAGAGTCTCTTCTATCAAATTGGATGCCACAACATTTTCTTTATTGTCTTAAATCAGTGATACTAAAAAAAATTAGATAACCTCTGCACTAGAAACAACATCAAGGTCTTCTCCGGGCAACTGATACTTAAAACTTACTTCAGAGGAATCAGAAAGCGAAGAGAGTTTAGAGATGAACATGGAGTACTTGATGTTCCTATCAACCGCTAAAATTTTGGTGTCGCCGCCAACGTAAGTGAGCTGGTTGTCATGAGGGCGGGGGAGGATTTTACCGCCGTAACTGCACAAGAACTTGACTTTGAAGTAGGCAGATGAAGAAGAAATGGCCTCATCCCCGGAGGAATTTTCGAGGGACCGTGGGGAGGAATTTACGGAATCCGGGTAGGATGAATTATTCAATGGGTAGTTCTCCATCTCTTTGTGTTTTTTTTTCTTCTTCTTCTTTTTTGGCCTAAGGAGATTTTATGTTGTTTGGGAGGGGATTAAGGGATCGGGGAATGAGGATTGGCCATGATAAAACAGAAATGCTGAACGGAGGGAAGACTATCGATTCAAGGGGCTGGGGGACCGGGGACGGGTGAAGGGGATGGTGGGACAAAGGAATTGCAAGTGTATTATTGAGGAGGCTTGAGAAGTTGGAAGCTAGATAATGATGAAGCGTGGAAGCAAGATAATGATGAAGCTTGAGAATAGCTATTGTTCTTTCCCTGATCTAAAGGAATAGTGTGCAGGCCAGAGCCATCTCCAGAGGTCGTATTCTCTGTTGTAACATTCTCAAACTGTTTCCTGTACTATTCTGCATAGACAAACCATTAGCACCTCCACCTGGACTCGCTTCTGTTGTGCTGTCGATTTGATTGAGATGATTTGAAGATGAAGAGGCATTATCAGACATGGATCCAACATTTCTTACTTACCTCGGAAAGTGGGTCTTCGCTGAAGTTGGGATGCCGCCGACGAAGAAAGAATTGTTTGCCGATGAGATGTTGCTGGAGATGGTCTTTTATCGCTGCCGAAGAAGGGATTGGTTCATCGCCGGAGGCTGTGAAAAGAAGATTGATTTTACAAAAGGAAAATAACTTCACAATGATGGATAAGGAAGTTATTTTCCTTCACTCGGTGTAACTTATTTTCTGTCAGAAATTATTTTTCCAAATTAATTGACAGCCAAACAATGGAAAATGAGGAAAATATTTTCCTGGAAAACATTTTCCACCCAAACAAACAGATCCTAAATCCATATCAAAATGTGGCACTTGTTATTCAGGGTTTTGTTTACTCGTATGTCAAACCTAACCCAAAGGGCACTTGTTATTCAGAGTTTGTTTACTCCTATGCCAAGTTTAACCCAAAAGGTTTGAAAATAGAGTGTTAAAGAAGGGATTGACTAACTCGTAGTTGTTGTGGTTGGAGTTGGATCACTGGGTAGTTGATAAGTGAATCAAGGAGGCCTGATTGGATCTTATTTCATCTTCAACGATTCAATGTTCCAAACACTACAAAAATTCAATGATTAAAACATTGCAAGTTGACTCTTGTGGCCCGTATAGGTAGTGTACTGAATAGAGTATAGGACTTGGGAAAGATTTAAATTGAATGGAGTTGAATGTGTTCTTGATTTTGTGCCAAACACACGTACACACACCCAAAAAAAAGATAAAATTTCCAAGAAAACTCAGTATCAAAAGCTTTAGAAAAAAAAATGCATTATTTCCTTATACTATATAAGATTGAGTTTTGGTCAAAGAATAGGTTGAATTTCAACCGCATAGGTGGGGGCTTTCTAAGAATGTGAAATGTTGTGTATTAGTTTAAAAGTTTTAAGTACAAGTTAAGGAAGCATGTATTTGGGTATGTTTACTGAAATGACCCTATTTTAATACATTTAAAGTTGTCATTGATGAGCCATCTGGGTATTGATGAAATGTGTAATTAGTGTGCAACTGTTTTTACATTTTGTACAACCCATATATACTTATATGTTGGTGTAATTACCGGAATATCTCTTAACTACCAATAATTCCCCTTTTCAGTCGCAGATAACCGTTTGAGATGTTGCTTTGTCTGAAACATTTGAATGACAATCGGATTTAGGAAATGAGTCAACAATTTCTCTATCAATGGTAGGAACCCATTTCTCTATCATTTATAATCTGCATTTATGAACCACAAACATTGGTCAGTTTATACCCTTTCAGTTTCAGGAGTTAAGTTTTCCCTTTTTGTCTTCATTTACAACGATTTGCCTCATTGTTTTCTCTTCCATCCGAGCTCAATTTTGAAATTAACTATTATTTCGTCATTAATTACACCAAATTCAATTGTCGAACCGTTGGTATGTTAATGCCACGGTTGATTATTAGTTTCTCCCTGTTCGCATTCCAGGATTGGGATAATTGTACCTAGGGATGGCAACGGGGCGGGGTTGGGGCAGGGGACCCCTTCCCCATCCCCCGCCCCGCTGCCTACAAACTCCCCCCGCCCCGTCCCCCGCCTCCCACTCCTCCCGCCCCGCCTCGCTTCCCCCGCGGGGTTAATAAAATTTTTCCCGCGGGGTTAATAAAATTTTATTAGAGTTAAATTTTAATAAATAATCAAGTACTAAAATATCAACACATCATCAAGTTATTATTCATTTTAATTTTACAATTAAAACTCATAAAAATAATCAAACAAAAGTTATTTGAATACAATCCAACATGATAAAATAAATACAACTAAAATAGTTAAGTTTTCACTTTTAATACAAATACAATCACTAATTCATTATTGTGTTTGTGCTTTTTTTTTTTAGAAAAAGTGTTATTCTATTAAGTGTAATTAGAAATTTAGTATAAATGTATTAGTAAATTTAGTATAACTAATTAATAAATTCTATTAGTAGACATGTCTAATTATTCGTATAATTGATACTATCAATTTTATTACATACACTAATATACATTATATAATACATCTAACTAATAATATCATTATCATAAGTTTATAACTAATTAAATTACATATTATATATAATTATATATATATAATTTTTTTTGCGGGTGGCGGGGCGGGGGATGGGCGGGGGAGTATCCCCCGCCCCCAGCCCCGTTTCTAAACGGGGGGAAAAAATTCCCCCCCGCCTTGAGAGCCCCCCGCGGGGTGGTTGCCCGCGAGCACCCGCCCCCATTGCCATCCCTAATTGTACCTGGTTTCATACTAATCGGCTCATAATGCTCTTCAATCCCAGCTACTCCTGGTGGTTCAGCGTGAGATTAGATTTCACCCCCCCAATTTTTCAGTTCCTCCCTTAATTTTGTCGGTGTGTTCTTAGTACCTACAATTAGCGACTCTTATCGCGTTGCCTAATTGCAAGATAGCATTTTTCGCGTTGCCTAACCTCAATTGGTCTGGGTTGGTTATTATCTTATAGGTTTGGAGCAACAACAAGAAAGAATTCTCGGTGGGGATTCTAAAATAAGGTTAGCTTTCTGTGTTGTTCTGCCTTTCTGCATTATCAACGACCTTCAATTTGACACAGTTTTATTGTAACTCTGTATGAATTGATTGATTAAATTGTTTATCTTTTTATACTAAGTTTTATTTCTTCTCACAATGTACTATTATTTATTCAACAAAAAAATCTCTTTCCCCACAGGCACTAAACACCCGCACTCCCCCCTAGTAATGTGTTATAACAAGGACAGCAAAGTTGATGAGACACCTCGTGTGTAACTAAGATGTTACAGTTTGAATTATGAAGGAAGAAGTGAAGAAAATAATATAATTTTATTAATTTTATCTCATGTGGATTTAATGGGCTCTACAATGTTGATTCTCTCCAAAAAAAAAAAAAAATCTGCTGCAGGAAAGAAAAGAGAAAGGAATAGATAAAAAGAGAGGAACAGATATGGAGGAGGGCTCTTTTGATACCCTCACGGCCTCACTTAAATATTTGCAAAAGGAACCAAAGAAGCCTAGCCTTGCATTCATATTGACAAACAATACGGACTGGATTGGATAGCATTTTGGGCACAAATTTTATCTATACGTATGACAATGAACCCCTAATATCCTAATCTTGGTAGGTCTTTGTAGCATTTAATTTTTATGATGGAAGTAATCTCCATAGGTTTTTGTAGCATTTAAATTTTCACAATAGAAGTAATGGTCTTACTTTTTGGCAACGCCATTTAAGTGTTTCTTAATGTTATTTTAGCAAGTACCAAACGAAATTAGAGCATTGGCCCCTGGACTAGGGCTACAAAATGAATCGAGCCGCTTGCGAGCAGTTCGAGTCCGAAATCGACTCGAGTTTGAATAACATTCAGTTTGACCTGATCAAGTCAAACTCGAATCCGAACTCAAGTTCAAAAATATTCAGCTCATTAGTTCGTGAGCCTGCTCGATTATATATATATATATATATATTATTTTAATAGTAAAATTACATATATATATCCCTAATATTTTATTATTTGTTAAGAAAAAATTTTTTAAATTTTTTTGAGCTCAAGCTCAATCTTTACATTTTGATCTCGTCAAGCTCGAGTTTCATAAAATTAAGTTGAAGTTCGACTCTGCTCATTTGCACCCCTACCCTGGATCAACGCTTTGAAATGTTGATTTGCTGAAAGGGATAATTTCAAAAATTTTCCTATAGGTTTTTTTTGACAATTTCAGCCACCTCTTTAAAAGTTCAAAACATTACACTAACATCTTTTGATATTACGAAAAGATTATATTAGTTTTTATAAATCACTAACAAAGAGATTTATAGAAGAGTAAAAACAAAAAGAAATGATCTCCTAAATACCTTTTTTCAGTCTGTTACACAACTTTTTTTAAACAAAAAAAAAGCAAAAAAGCCCTTAATCTCATCTCATCTAGTAAGCTACAGTTACAACAAATAACTTTCTAGTCCCAATCACACACTCATCTTGTTAAATCTAACCAGCCTATTATTCTTTTGTCAAATCTCAAATCTCCAGGCCTGAATTTTATTCTAATAATCTAATCATAAAATCTGTATTAGTTTTTACTCCCTTAAAAAGGAATAATTTTCTTCCTATAAAATATTAAATACACAATTGTTTAAGAAATGAGATGGACTAGACTAGAAGCCTTTTCTAAACTTTGTCCAATTTTCTTTTCTAAATTTTCGCCAATTTTGAGACTTTGCCCACTAAAAGTAAATATCTGTTCACAAAAATGGGAATAGCTTATTTGTTTTGGAATACCAAATTTTTTCAAATAATATTTTACTTACCTCATAAATACATTTCACAACTTATCTTTTTATAATTTCAATCATCCTAAAATGCCCCTCATGAAAAATGCCGCTCAATTTTCAAAGGTAATCATTTATCCATCACATGATCAGGACTGTACAAACAAACACCCTAGTACTAGCAGAGTCAAAAGACACCAGAACCAAATTCTACAAATCAATGGACCCCACCCCGGCATGGAAACGGGATCGAATATTCAAAGTACTTTTCCCCAGTAGTCCCTCCCTCCTCCGACGGAGACTTTCCACCTCTAGCTTTAACATCAACCAACCATATTTTCCACCTAATGAACCTAGACGACAAAACGGCTCCATACACTTCTTTATTATAATTAAACTAAATCGACGAAACAAATACAACTACTATTTATTATTTATGAACGATTGACCACTGTGGGGCCCATATCCAAACAAGGGCCTGTTGACTAAAAGGCCCCAAAAGTGGTGAGATGCCTAACGTTGCTCGGAGACTCGAAGGTCCATGACGGGGTGGTGTTTCCAATTTCTTCCCTTCCCATTGACTTTCCCAACGTCACGTGGAGTTTTCGATGTCAAATATTTGTCTTCCTCATATTTCTTTAATGAATTTAGACATCATTTTTTTAATCCTAAAATTCTCAACGAATTCAATCATCTTTAGACGGCACGGTACGATTACAAATGTTCTCCTAGGACACTGCTATGCATGACCTATGTGCACGTAATATTGGACTTTTTTTTTCCCTTTTTTCTGAATGTGGTATCTATAGTTCTGTCGGCATTCCTCATTCTCTTTGATGAGAGCTTCAGGATGTTCTCTCTTCCTCGATCTTCACAGATTTTCTTAAGAACCCATTAAAGAGAATCACAAAATTTCGCAACCCTTTTTGGGAAAAACACCTCGAGGCATTAGATTCATTGAACTTGGACGTTTTTTTTTTTTTGAAGGGATCATGTATTCTCCCATCTGGAATTGGATTTCTTGGAGTTTCGTCCTCCTTTTTCTGGGTTCAAAATAAGTGCACTGGATTCCAGTAGTAGGAGGACCGTCGAGTGTGGGAAGAAAAAAGGCACGGTGGTTAAAGTTCCTGCACGTATCTTCAAAAGTTTCTTAATATGCCTTTTAACTTTTTCTGAAGCTTTTACACTAATCGTTTACGAGTTTTTATAGTTTGGCTTTGCAGATTTTGTGACTTTTCAGAAGGTAGGGCCCTTCTCTCGAGCTGCCCCATTGTGATCTCTCCACTATCAGTGGCATCAATTGAAAGTTAGAAACTCCCGAAGAGGTTAGTCAAATGCTTCCATTTTTTTTTTAGTGGTGGCTTTATTCTCTGAACAAACTTTTTACTTGTACCATGAAATTTGGAATAGGTTTGTACCCGTTATTTTTGCATGGCATGGATGGAATATGTTCTTTTAAGAGTTACTGTTACTACCATATAGGCATTGCATTTTGGATTTTAGGTACATTTTTGGCGGTGAATTTCGTCCCGATGTGTTTTGGTATCTTGTAGCCGATTGCTAAGGAATGTTGTTTCGTGGAAACTGAAGTGAATTTGTTTTTTCTTTTTCTGGGTTTTGCTATTAGAGTTTGGCAATTTTACAGTTTAGTATAGGTAACGCAAGAAATTCAATGTGTCTGAATTAATTTCCTCACCATCCCCTGTAACTGCCAGATTAAATACGCTTGTATATAGAAATGTGGAATCAACCCTAAGGATAAAACATAAATGATAAAGATAAACGAACAGGAGAAGTTAAAACCTTGGCACTTTGGAGCAGATACAGTAGCAAATTAATCTAATTATGCAATTTCACAAGTCCTAAAAGATGGCATGCTTGAACTGCTACTGTTCAATAGAATGTTTGTTGGTTAACCATTGGACCTTTGGAAGTGAGCTTTTTGTTGGTTTTTAACACATGGAAAGTGATCAGTTCAGGATTAAATTAATGTCAAGGGATCTTCAGCAAGGCTCTCGTCATTGTTGTAGTGACATTCATAATGTCAGACGTTTCAAAGGATCTGATCATTAGTTGCTGAAATTAATGATCCAATTTTTGCCTTTTCGTGACAAGGAATTGGTTCAACTCTTCTTTATTCAGGCTTAAGTTTGTGAGCAAAATGCTCCACTTCAGAATGCAGATTTATTTAAGTAATTTTTATTGCTCTTGCAAATAATAGACGCCAGTCTAAAGTCAAATATCTAAGGAAGAGAGGGAAAAGGATTATGAATCTAGGCATGAATATGCTCATTGGGAAAACTTCCTTTGCTGTTTGAGATCATTAAAAAATCAGCGGTTCTTAGGATATCCATCTGTCAACTGGGTCAAAAATTTTGAGCTGTCTGATCGTGCTTCTCTTTCTTAAGAAGCATCTGACAAGAAAGAGATCCAGGTTCATGGCTACTGCTGTTGTTAATGCTCTATTTTAGCTTGGAAGGTTTGACCTGCAATGTCCCGACATTTTTATATAAGTTGGACTTCTTAAGCTCCTTCCATCTTGAACAAGGCTTGGAACTTGAATTGTTAGTTGTCTCTCTTTGCTGCTGCATGTTATTTATTATTCATTTTCCCGGTGTTAGTTTGATTTACAAAAGTTTCTTGGTGGTTGTACTTTCTTCCTTGGTTCAATGTGGTGTTACTGTCTTCTTCTTCCTTATAAAGTAAACATCAGCTGCTTTTATAAAATATGTCTGCAATGAAATTTTTGATGTTGAATGCTACAATTGATAGATAAAGTGGTCATGTGAGATTAACAAAATCCAAGTAAACTGATCAGGAGGGTTTTAGCAAAAGCTTAACAGGATTTCACTGTTGACTTCTGTGATGGGCTTGCACTTGTAAGTTGGAATTGTTGCTGACCTAATAATATAGGTTTCCTCTATGCTACAGGTAAATTGGTTATCTAGTTTCCTTCCAGAGAACAGAATAGTCCTCATCTCTAATGGGCCATTTTGGTGACGGGGGAACTGAAACAAAAGAGATGGACATCAGAAGTTTGTCATCCTCGCACCATCAGCATTTACCATACATTCACAAGGTTGGTGTTCCGCCAAAACAAAATCTTGTGAAGGAATTCACATCCACTGTGAAGGAAACGTTCTTTGCAGATGATCCTTTACGACCATTTAAAGATCAGCCAAAGTCTCGGCAGTTCATACTTGGTGTGCAGGCCATCTTCCCTATTCTTGAATGGGGTAGAAGTTATAATCTTGCTAAGTTTAAAGGAGATTTGATTGCTGGGCTCACCATTGCAAGTCTCTGCATTCCTCAGGTACCACCATGGTGATTTGTGAGATGAAAAGCCAACTTTATACTGCAACACTTAATGGATCATAACAAATTGTTTACTTGTACAACAGGATATTGGATACTCAAAGCTTGCAAATTTAGATCCTCAATATGGACTGTGTAAGTATCTAACCTGAATAACTTAATAATAGAATTTAGAATGCAAGCTCTGACAAGTTGAAAGTGTCTACCAGACTCCAGCTTTGTTCCCCCTTTGATCTATGCCTTCATGGGCAGTTCAAGAGATATAGCCATTGGACCAGTAGCTGTAGTTTCTCTCTTGCTGGGGACCCTACTGCAGAATGAGATTGATCCGACCAAAAATGCAGTTGATTATCGGCGACTGGCATTTACAGCTACTTTTTTTGCTGGGATCACTCAAGCTACCCTTGGGATCCTCAGGTGCTTGATCACTTACTTTCCTATGGGTGCTACAAATTTGAAGCTAGAGCTCTATAAGCCTAGCTTAGTAAATCGCTTAATTCATGTGCCAGTGCTTCTTCAATCAGATTTATGGCATGTTTCGCTGGTGCCTAGGCTGCAGATGTAATCTTACTCCTTTATTGTGTTCAGGTTGGGCTTTTTAATCGATTTCCTATCTCATGCTGCTATTGTTGGTTTTATGGGTGGTGCTGCTATAACAATTGCCCTCCAACAACTTAAGGGATTTTTAGGCATTAAAAGTTTTACAAAGAAAGCAGATATCATTTCTGTAATGCGCTCAGTTTTTGGTTCTATCCACCATGGGGTAAGTACAGTGTCTCCCTCTCCCAGAGTCCCAGGCAGACCATAACATCTCTAACATGATTAGAAGCAGAAGCAATGGTTTTTGCACTGTAAAAACAAAAAGAAGCTAACATATTTTCTGTCCATATCAATTTGCAGTGGAACTGGCAGACCATTGTGATTGGATCAAGCTTTTTAGCCTTCCTTCTTGTTGCAAAGTACATTGTGAGTGTGTCTAACTCTTACCATTCTATTCATCTATAACAAGTTTAAAAAACCTCCTTATCTTCTTAACTGTTTACTGATTGGTGAAATAGGGAAAGAAGAACAAGAAACTCTTTTGGGTACCTGCAATTGCACCATTGATTTCTGTCATGCTGTCCACCTTTTTTGTGTATATCACCCATGCTGACAAGAAGGGGGTCCAAATTGTAAGATCCTGTTTCATACAGTACCAATCCATGATTATGTCAGCCATATCAATGCCTTTAAACTGCTTCTATGCTGATATTACCAGGTGAAACACATAGAGAAAGGAATTAATCCTTCTTCTGTGGGTCAAATATACTTTACTGGCGATTATCTTCTAAAAGGAATTAGGATAGGAGTTGTAGCAGGCATGATTGCATTGACAGTAAGCAAGTCTTTTGAAAGAAGTACTGCTCAATTTTTGTATATTTTGCTTGATATTCTGCCTTAATACTGCTACTTGGTGTTTAATTATGTCAGGAAGCTGCTGCAATTGGAAGAACATTTGCGGCGATGAAGGACTATCAACTGGATGGGAACAAAGAAATGATGGCTCTTGGAGCAATGAATGTTGTTGGCTCAATGACATCCTGCTACGTAGCCACAGGTGAAATGGAAATGCAAACAGAGATTTTGTTGCAATGTCATGGTTAAGTTTTAGAATCATCTGGATGCAAACTACCTACAGAGAATGCTTCTTCGTAACCAGAAACATTTCTTCTCAAGTCAAAGAGTATGAGGATGAAGGAAAATGCTTTCCACATTCACAATCCTAGACTTCTATATGTCATAGACACAATTTTCTATCAACTAGTATTTTGTCATCTACAACAGAATTGTATGCTCCAATGCAGTTATTTTACTGTTAACATGATCTATTCATCGCTTGCAGGTTCCTTCTCGAGGTCTGCAGTTAATTACATGGCCGGATGCCAAACTGCAGTTTCTAACATTGTTATGTCCGTTGTTGTGTTCCTAACATTGATGTTCTTAACACCTCTATTTGAGTACACACCAAATGCCATCCTTTCAGCCATCATTATCTCTGCTGTCATTGGATTAATAGATTATGATGCGGCAATTTTGATCTGGAAGATCGATAAATTTGATTTTGTTGCTTGCATGGGAGCGTTTTTTGGAGTGGTTTTTGCCTCTGTTGAGATAGGTCTTCTGATTGCTGTAAGGATGGACAGTGTTCACATTTCTCTTTGTTTTCATTTTTTTTTTCCTTTAAATGTCAGTCAGGAGTCAAAAGTGATTTAACTGAGAGTTATGCTACTCTTTATTGTGGTAGGTTACAATATCATTTGCTAAAATTCTCCTGCAAGTCACGAGGCCACGAACTGCAACTCTTGGAAGGATTCCTAGGACCAATGTCTACCGGAATATCCAACAATACCCAGAAGCGAATAAAGTTCCAGGGCTCCTAATAGTGAGGATTGATTCTGCAATTTACTTTTCAAACTCTAACTATATTCGGGAGAGGTGAGATGTTTGGTCTTTCTTTTCTCCTCTTATTGGTATGCATATCATTCTGTTCCACTTAACTACTGAATGAACCTGAAAACAAAGCTATGCAACTAATTTGCAATATTAAGTCAAAATGTTGGTGCTCCATGATGAATATATTAGGACATCCTAAATTGGTCTAGAGTGTCAGCTTCAAAAGTTGTAGTTCAGAATTTTGTGAAGCCTGCCTAGCTGGAAACTACTTGTGGAATTATGTAAATTGGTATCATAAACAGAGAGACCTACTAATTCAACTTTGTCTAGATTTTCATCAAAAGTTTGACTTCCAAACAATCTTCTCCACAGAATATTGAGATGGTTGACCGATGAGGAAGAGCAACTAAAAGCAGCTGGGCATCCTCAAATTCAGTTTTTAATAGTTGAAATGTCGCGTAAGTATTATATGGCTTATATAAAATTTGATGCACATTACCTTGTCCTGCCCTTATAACTGATGCACTCTTGAAATACTTATCGTTTCTGCAGCTGTCACAGACATTGACACCAGCGGCATCCATGCCTTGGAAGAACTGCATGGCAGTCTCCAGAAAAGACAAGTTCAGGTAATCAACTCAAGATTGCTCTTCATTCATTCCTCGTTTTTAACTTAGAGAACAGATTATCGTATTGTCTCAAAGACAACTATGGCAAACAAGCGCATAAATCATGAATTTTCTCTGATATTATTAAATTAAAGATCTCATCGAAAACTTACAGTAGCTTGCCAAACGAAAGAGAAAAAAGAAGACAGGTATGACTGGCATCCAAGGGTCACAAACCAACCATAGAGCCCTATTCAATAAGTGGAACACATTAGCTGTCTGCATTGGGCAGTAAGAGTTAATATGAGCTTGAAAATCTTACTTGAGAAAATTTGCTGCTTGTGTTAACAGCTCATCCTGGCAAATCCCGGCCGAGTCGTACTTGACAAGTTACATGCTTCTAATTTTGCAAATTTAATTGGCCAAGATAAGATCTTTCTCACGGTAGCAGATGCAGTTCATACTTGCTCACCAAAACTAGCTGAAGAAGTCTGAGTTCTTAGTGGAAATATGGTGCACATACAGGGCTGGAGAAAAAAGATCAGCATTGTAGTGCCAATCTTCAGCCATCAGGCTGATTCGACTGCTGTATAATTTCTGATATCATGATTCCATTGAAACAAGACCAATTATATAGAATGATGGCAATTATGTTATAGATATAAGTTATTTAATAATGCTTTCATGATTATGAGTTCTCACACCGATAACTAGTGTTAAAAGTTTAAATGATAGTAACAATTGTTTGAAATTTGTCACTTGTGTCATGTAATGTGATAAGAGCAAAAACTGTCACAATTGAAACTCATTCAATGATTCAAATCACTAATAAAGTTGTCACACAACATCTAAATTATTATTATTAAACAAGAAAAAGTTGTCACACAAAACCAATTTAACCGTAGACCAAGTTACGAAAACCTAATACTCATTCACTTAACCTGTCTATAATCGCTGCATTAAAAGCTGTACATCCCACTTCATCCCTGGATATAACCCTAACTCAAATTCCAAAAATCCTAACACTCATTTACTTAACCTTTATCATCCCTCCATTAGAAGCCATATCTCTCACTGCATCATTCAATGCCTTGTCACCACCAGCCAATTTATAACATATGCTTTGTTTGGATTTCAATTTTTTCAAAAATTATTTTTGTCTTTAAACAACACACCGCCTATCAATCACCATCAGATTAGTGCACAATACAAGGTAGGCATACCCAGGTCGTTTTGCAATTGTTGAACCAATTGTCTTGTATTTGAAACCTATTAACTAAACCCTAAAGCACAACCCGCTCCCAATTGAGAATAACGCCGTCACCCTCCTGTTATGGTATTGAACCTAATTACAGCAATGGTGACGGATTGCTTACAGCAGTAGTGAGCTAATCTCTTAGCTAGTTATTAGAATTGGAAATGGAAAACAAATAATGAACTCCAACTTCTCATTAATAGCGGAAAAAGATCAATTTCAGAAACAGAAACAACGGATACAGAATGAAGGGGAAAGAATGAAGGAAAAAGAGAAAATTGAGGGAATTTGGCAAAGCCAAATTACCTTTACAATCACTTGGAGAATTATGACAAAAACTTCCTATCATCCGGATTCCTTCATGCTTTTATGGACAATTCTGGACTAACTAACTTCTAAACAGACTAATAAGGTTATGACACGTGGAGTTCTAGAATTATCAGCTCCACTTGCGCATAACAGAAGCATAATTCTGTCGTGGTTTCGAAACCACGCCTTCGTCTTCTTCAGGCTGATTGACCGCGCCTTCTTTGTAGCCTTGGACACGCCTTCTTTCTTCTTCAAGCCAGACTGGTAGATCTTGTCCTTTTTTCTTCTGCCTTTCTTCTTCACTCCATGACAGAGCCTTCCCCTCAAAGAAAATCTTGTCCTCAAGATTGGAATTGAGGGAACTGTTTCCTAATTTATTCTGCAAATTCCCATGTTGCCTCTGCTGGATCTGTTCCCCACCAATGAATCAGCCATTGCACTGCAGCTGCATTCTTTTTCTTGACTGTTCTTCTGGCTAGAACTGCAACTGGTTCGACCCTTAAGTGCCCACTTCCATTTACCTCTGGTAGCTGTAAGATAGGTGTAATCTGGTTCCCAACTTTCTTCTTCAGCAGAGAGACATGGAATACAGGGTGTATCCTTGAATCTGCTGGCAACTTCAGCCTGTATGCAACCTCTCCAAGTTTCTCTACCACCTCATAAGGTCCATGGTAGCGTGCTGATAACTTGGTGTTGCTTCGCATAGCCACTGAACCTTGCCTGTAAGGCTGTAACCTCAGGTATACCCAATCTCCAATATCGAACCTCCTTTCGCTTCTCCTCTCATCAGCATATTTCTTCATCCTCTCTTGAGCCTGCTTCAGGTTCTGTTTCAGGATGATGTCCACCTTGTGCCTCTCCTTCAAGTAGTCCCCAACTACAGCTACCTTAGCCTGAGTGTATGGTCCCAGAGCTAGTTGAGGGGGTGCTTGCCCGTATAGAGCTTCAAAGGGGGTCATTTGGATGGCTGTGTGGTAACTAGTGTTATACCACCATTCTGCCATGGTCAACCAATGATTCCACTTCTTTGGTTCCAAATGTGAAAAGCATCTAAGGTACATTTCTAGCACCTGATTGACTCTCTCAGTCTGGCCATCAGACTGTAGATGGTAGGCTGTGCTGTGGTCCAGCTTAGCTCCTAGTAGTGTAAACATTTCACCCCAAAATTGACTAGTGAAGACTTTATCTCTGTCTGACAGCATGATCTGGGGTATTCCATGTAACTTGACTACTCCATCTAAGAAAATTCTGGCAATCTTTGGGGCATCAAAAGGATGTGAGATGCTCAAAAAATGAGCATACTTGGTGTACCTGTCCACCACTACCATAATGGTATTCTTCCCTTCAGAGTTAGGTAGTCCCTCAATGAAGTCCATAGTGATATGGTTCCAAGGGTACTGTGGAACTGGCAAGGGTTGCAGGAGTCCTGGATAGGACACATGCTCGTCCTTGCATTTCCTGCAGACATCACATTCCAGGATAGCTGTTTTAATGTCTCTGTGCATGCCTGGCCAGTAAAACAGTTGCTTAGCCCTCATGAAACTTGCTTGAATACCAGAGTGTCCTCCCAATTGGGAGTCATGTATGGTGCAGATCAGTTTTTTTCTTATGTCTCCCCCAGATCCAACGACCACTCTCCCTTTGTATTTTAGTATACCATTCTGATAGCTGAGGTTGGAAATTTGGTCTGGTTTCAGTAATATTTCTCTGATGCTATTCTGTGCCCAGTCATCTCCTTGGTAGCTACTAATTACTTCTTTGATCCATTCTGGTACTATGGTAGTTATTGCAGTGCATTCCAAGCTTGGATTTCCTCTCCTAGACAGGCCATCTGCTACCACATTCTCTTTACCTCTCCTGTAATGGATCTCATAACTCATCCCCATGAGCTTAGTCAGTCACTTCTGCTGCAGGGAGGGGTGGTGATTCTTTGTTCCAACAAGTACTTCAAACTCTGGTGATCAGTGTTGATGATGAAGTGTTGGCCCTCCAAGTAGTGTCTCCATTTGGAGACTGCTGTAACTAAAGCCAGTAGCTCCTTTTCATAGATAGATAGCCCCATATTTCTTGGCCCCAAACCTTGACTGATATAGGCTAAAGGCCTCCTGTTCTGCATTAGTACTGCCCCAATCCCATTGTAACAGGCATCAGTCTCGATTACAAGGGGTTGGTTGAAGTCAGGTAAAGCCAGGACAGGTGTGGCACACATGGCCCCTTTGAGCTTCTGAAATGCCTCCTCAGCTTCTATTCCCCATTGGAAGCTGTCTTTCTTCAATAGTGCAGTCAATGGTCTGGCTATACTACCATAACCCTTAACAAATCTCCTATAGTACCCAGTCAGGCCTAGGAATCCCCTCAGCTGTTTTACATTTTCTGGTTTAGGCCACTTCACCATGCCTTCAATCTTCTCAGGATCAGCTTTTACTCCTTCAGCAGATATGATGTGTCCCAAGTACTCCACCTGTGTTTGAGCAAAGACACATTTGCTCCTTTTGGCATATAGTTGGTGTTCTCTGAGGATGTTCAGAACGTCTGTGACATGCTTCAGATGTTCCTGCAAACTTGAACTATATATCAAGATGTCATCAAAGAATATTAGCACAAACTTCCTCAGCTGCTTTTGAAATACATGGTTCATCAGACTTTGGAAGGTAGCAGGGGCATTGGTGAGCCCAAATGGCATCACCTTGAACTCGTAGAGCCCCTGATGAGTTCTAAATGCAGTCTTGGGAATATCTGCTGCCTTTACCCTGATCTGAAAGTATCCTGCCCTTAAATCTATCTTGGTGAAGTATTTGGAACCGGATAATTCATCCAATAGTTCGTCAATAAGGGGTATGGGTTATTTGTTCTTGACTGTCAGCTCATTTAACTGTCTATAATAGACACAAAATCTCCAGGTGCCATCCTTCTTTTTTACCAGAAGTACAGGGGATGCAAAGGGGCTGTTACTGTGCTGAATGATACCATTTCCCAACATTTCCTGCACTAGCCTCTCAATCTCAGTTTTTTGAATATAGGGACATCTGTATGGCCTGATCTGGAAAGGTTTGGACCCCTCTTTAAGGGTAATGGAATGATCATGACCCCTCTCAGGGGGCAGCCCTTGAGGTTCCTTGAATATCTCCTCAAAATCCTGCAATACCCCCTCCATTTCTGGAGGTATAGTAACATTAGCATGTACCTCCTCCTTGACTGCACTGAGCTGAGCCATAATTCCATAGGCCTGTTTCCTGGCCCACTTGTGCAATCTACTCCCTTTGATCAATCTTAGCTGCACCTGATCACTCCCCCCCTTCAATTCTATCTGTTGTTTTCCTTTCCAGAATTTCACACTTAGTCCCTTGAAGTCAAACTCCATGGGACTGAATCTAGCAAGCCAATCTACTCCCAGCACCATATCACA